AATGATTCAATGGTTTGTCCTACCAAGCAGATGCTGTAGTTTGCAAGAGTTGTGTAAGTTGCTTTGGTGCCTCTCTGCATCTTCAGGTAAAGTTCATAACAGTAAGTTACTGTTTGGGAAGGAGGCTTGAATCACAATGTCCAGACTCCTCTCAAAGCTGCAGAGATGTAGTTCTGAACAACATAAAAAGCAGAGTGGCCAATTCATGCTGCTGTTCTTGTCTGGGCCAAGTCTGGCAGTGTACTCCAAAGCATTGTTCCTTAGTGGAAAAAAAGACAAGCATCACTGGAAGGGGAAGTCAGTGTCCTGAGAACCCTCAAAAAGCTCCTTTCATGCCACTTTTGTCTTGTCTGAGTTTGCTTAAACTGTGAAGTTTTCTTAATCAAGTGATCCTTCAAGAGCCCTTGCAGGGCATCAGATGTACTTTAATGAGATCTATGGACTGGATGCTGAAAGGGGGGGGATCTAAGCCACCAAAACCAGCACAAAATTCATCACAAAGGGTGTCCTTTGTGTCCATGTCCCCCCAGAGAATATTCCTTTCCTAAGGAGCAACAACCTGTTTACTATTTATTTGGGCTTCCACCACCTTAGTCTTTCCCCAGGGCTCCAAAGTCATCCTCATATCAGGATTAATTAATTGTCAAAACCTACAGCTCTTCCCATAGTCCCCATTCCCACTGCAGCTCCTCGCCAACTCATACACTTGTGTTGTCTTTCTACAGCATCCCACTGAACCTCATTACTTCCAGGATCTGTGCTGACAGCGAACCACTTGTTTCATAGCACCACCAGCCCTACTTGATCCCTCCCGCACAAGTTGAAATTCTTCAGGAGAGGAAAACTCTTCCCCTCAGAGGGACTCAAACCATTTCATAAATACCAGGCTGGGCCTCCCAGGATCTCCATGTTAGAGTAAGACCATGAGTCCACCACTACTAGTGAAGAAACCAGAAAGCCTCTGTAATTAAGCATCTTGAAGGCCAACCAAAAACTGCAAACAGGGATCAAAATCCAGTCTTCCATCTCCTATTTATCCTCACACTCCTACATCTTAACCACCAGGGAGAAGTGCTACCAATTCTGACACTAAGTACAAAAAAGCAAGATAAATTAGAAGACTAAATTATTCACTATCAGAACACATTCAGTTTGGCAACCGTTAACAGCCAGAATGAACCAACCTCAATAGTCCACAGAATGAAATACATTAGATTACAGTGGTAGTATAATTAAGAATAATTCAAGTTATTTAAATGCTTTTAGATTGTCTTTTATTACTCCACAACAGTCCATCACACCAGCTGATACAAGCGTACGGAGAAATGGCCACAATCTAAAATTCTAATAAAAATCCTTCAATTTATTGTTCACTTTCAATTTAATAGATGATGATCAAGGAAGCATCTGATTTTTCATTTTTAGCTTTGAAAACAAATTGCTATTCCTTAGAAATTCAATTCTTTCCAACTGGATGAAGCATAGAAAGTATTATTTCTTTGAGCCAGTCACATTATACCTTTTCATTAATGTTGCAGTAACGGTCACAATAGAACCAGTATCCAACAGACAAAATTACAGCACTTACATTACATTGTCTGACTCAGAAGTAACGAATTGAAGATACTAGAAAGGAATACTCTTGCAAGGAAATAATCTGGCTGTGACCATAAGCTTTGCAGAGACGCTGTATCTGTTTTGATATTGTAGTTATCTTGCAGCAGCAATTATCTTAGTACTACTTCAGGGATTTTTCGTTTGTTGAGAACACCTCCATATGCCAGTACAAGAATCTCTCTCACATTACCACTTGGAGTCTTTCCTTACACTGTTGGCAGTTTAGCATATTCCATTTCAGAACAGCCTTGCACTCCCAGACCCCTTTTGAACCAGCATCTCAGACCACTTAGTATTGATCCGCACAAGAGCCCTATTAAATGGGTATTATCCCCATTGTGCAGATAACACCTGAAAATCAGTGCCTTAGTTTAACTAAGGGTCTCACCAAAACCAGCGGTGCTTTCAATCTGTCATTATCCCTCCCTGTAGATGAATAAAAATGCCTTACTTTAGGCGCCTGAAACAAACAATTTTAGTTACATCTTTTTAAGTAACTGGTAGTGTCCATTCCACCACTGAAACTGTTTAAGGGACTAAAGACCCAGCATACGTTAAAGGCAAGGTCTTACCATCCACAAGAACTTGCTAGAGTATTGTATTCAATTATGATTTATTCCATTCTTTTTCATTTAAAAACCATGAGAGGAATATTAACTAAATTGCATGGCAACCACTTTAGAATACATTATTTGAGAATTGTGGGTAATAATATAATTTGCCCAGGCTCTTGAAAGATCCTAGCTGTTTAATAAACATGAAAAACTTACTCCCAACTAGCGTGACAAGACCTCTTTGCCCAGTTTTCCTTTATCCTCTGACATTTGGACATCCAGTAGTCCATTAGGCTACCAGTGTAAACACAAGAACTGTTACAAATGAAGCCAGGCCAAACAGTTAAGTGAACTCCAAATAATTCGATCTAAATTGTTTATAACCCTGTACTTCATACCACTGCTGAATCATCACCCCTAGCAGTAGCTTTCTTAGTGAAGAGGTAGTCACAATAAAACCACTTAGGTCCCAGCAAACAGGAATAAACAAGTAAATTCTCTAAGCACCAGAGGAGCAACAAGTTCTGTCATAAGGAGAGTATTTGCAAGACCATGCAAGAAGAGTTCTAAAAAATTAGTTTTTAAAAAAACAGGTTAGTATTTCTGCATTACTGTGTACACAAATATGTATCAGAATGTGCCAGTCCGCTTAACAGTTTGCTAGACTAATAGAAATTAAATGTTTGAAGCTCTTAAGGAACTAAGTCACTTAAGATCTTTGAGAGTTTCTTGATTTTTATCTAACCAAGGAAACATCTCTCAGAAAAGACCATTTTGTCAGTTTTTGATTGCAGTTACCATCTTACATAAACACCATTCAGCACTGTTAGAGGAAATATTTCAGAACTATGAGGAGCAAGCTCAGGTGAACAGCAGAAGGATGTTAGAAATGGAGAAATTTAGCTGATCAATGCCTTTCCATTTTTTTTAATAGCCTGTTGCTAAACACTAGAGGAAATTTCAATTTATGCTGAATTAAGGGATATTTCCAAAGCTGTCACATCAATTCAAAGATACAAAGGCCTATGTTTTTCATTTTTGTACAGGGTAATTTTGGTAAGCTAATAAAAACTCATGTTAAATGGTCTCGTTTTATTAACGGAACATTATGTTACAAGAATCCTGCACATAAATTCATGTCAGATGAAGTACCACTCTACTAATTCAGGAAATTAAGACATTGTTTTTGGAAGTATGCTGTTCAGTACCTGTCACTTGACTTATATTGCCTCAGGAAAGAAAAAATAGTAGGCAAGATACAACAGGGAGTTTTGAGCTTAAGTTGGGCTGAAAAAAACCTGTATTTAAGGAGACCTCACCCTTTCTTCAGAAATTAAAGCAAGTCCAAACATCTTTTTTGGCCAAACAAGATAAAGACAGCTTTCTCCTGGGAAAATCTTGGCATGACATCCAAGTTGAAAGAATTTTACACACTGTTATCAGCAGTCTAGCCAGGTTGAAAGCCAGAGACTCTAAAGCCAAAGAGCAATATATTCCATGTCTAACCTAAGAAAGGTGTTGAAATATATTCCCACCACCACTCTTTTTTTTTTTCCAAAGAAGTTTTTTCCAGGCCTTTGTGGGTTTGGATATGAAAACATTTGTTCACAAGAGGGCAATTCCAACCTTGCAATATACCACAGAAGTCTACAAGATACATACCAGAATAATCTGCTCAGCAGTAGAATTTCCTAGAATTAAAACAATGGCATACAGTAGATTACATTCTTCAGCTACACAGTCAAAAGCAACTGCAAAAACAGATGCTATTTTTCTTATAACTCCATTAGATGCAATTAATGTAATATCAAATACGTTAAAATCGTGACAGAAGTCAAATAGATCATTGTCCATCAGCTAAATGCACAGATCCATCATTTGCCTCAAAGTTAAAGAATTTCCAGATCCAGCAGGCACAGGCCTGGGAAGTAATAATCACTTCTTGAATTAACTATTACAAAAACTACCACCAAAAAGTGAGCTCCGCTAGCAAGTTAATACCTAAAAGAGCATTAACTTACTGCAAACACTACAAAATATGAGAACATTCTTAGGACATCGGAGAATGCTTTGGGGCTGCTCAGTAGACAGGTATATAACCTTTCATGAACGTCCACGGATTTCACCGCAACCTCTAAACTTCCCCATGAGAAAACTCAAGAACAGCCTTGTGGAAAAGACCCATGAACAACATCATTGTCACTAGCTCCCTTCAATACTTCAAGCCTCTTCCCCCTTCCAGCAGGAGCACCACAATGGTAAAGCAGAGAGTGGAATCTACACCACCATAGCTAAATACACCCAAAAACAGAACTCAATTTTTTATTTTTGCTTTACATTTCCAAGCATCTCCCATTTGATACCATGGCAAACTGAATGGTTAAGGAAATTATTTGCTCTTTTAAACTTAATGTTTACATCAAAAAGCATTTAAATACAGAGTTTTAAATAAGGTACTGTAACAACAATATTGATGCTTCTATTAAAGACTGACAAAAAGAGCTCAACCCAAAGGCATTAGTAAATAGTCCAGTATTTTGCAGTTTGCCTAATCAAACATTTTTGGCTTAGCAGAACGTACACCAAAAAAAAAAAAAAAAAAAAAAAAAATCAAAAGAAGAGAAAACTGACTTCTATTTCCAGTTCAACTACTGATTGACTGAGAGGTCTCAAGGAAGCCTTTCATTTTCCAACACTCTTCTGACTGTAAAAGGGGGATTATGCTTACTTACCGCATAGAAAGCTGAGAATTGAGAAGCATAAAGTGCTGCAGAGAAAGAAATACAAGTGCTGAGTACTATTACTCCACAGAAAAATAAAGAAAACTGGTTATTTTAAACAAGAAGTTTATTTAAACAACAAGACGCTTTACTTGAAGGGAAAACTATCTAGGATTTTTTTTTTTTTTTTTAAGAGTAATTTACCCCTACTTAGACAGAGATTGCTCTACATGTAACAGCTACGTACAAAAAAGTTATAAAATTGTCCTTGGTTTTACAATGATAAAAGAAAAACATTGAAATTATCCAATCAAACAAGGTATGCAAGGTTTTTGTTTTTAAACAGTGAGAGCAAAATAACTTACTGGAATAGAAAGATAAAAGTAGAAGGAGCATGCCACTAAGAAAGAAAGGGGCATTTTCACAGAACCAGTTTGTTTTCCCACCCCATCTCCATTAAATGTTGATCAAAACATACCATTGGCCATTTAGTTAAAAAAAATACGCATTATGTCTGTGCACATACACCAGTTACTTTATGTACAATAGAAGGAATAGGAAAAAAAATCAGAGAGAGAAGAGAGAAAACTATACTGTAGTAGTCAGAATGTGGCTGAACCAAGTCTCATTTTTCTAATTGTGAATGTGTCGCCTGTGGGAGCACAGTTCTGGAGAGGAAAGTAGCAGGTTCTTTTTTTGTGTGGTTTTTTTTTTTTTTTTTTTTAGTAAACTCCTCCTGTTTGCTGCTGGAACACATCAATTGTATCTTCATCCTCCATTTCCAACTATAGCAGAAAAGAGAAAAAAGGCTTTCAACTCTCCTCAGATATCTAGTATAGGCTGGGTTGTTCTTACATTTCCTGTCTTCATGTTTACTTTTTATGCAACTTAACCAGACCAGCCCCGCTCCCCTCCATCATCATCACTTTGTACATTTAACCTACTTCACCGTAACTCAAAAGCAAAGAAATTACATGGGGGAAAAAAAATGCCAGTTGATAGCTGTTTTCCTAGAACGAATTCTAGTATGTAACTTCAGGGTGCATTGTATGACTCTTATGGAAAAGATCGGCATTCATAATATTTTAATTTTGTTGCCTACTTTGCCATTGCATCTTCTTTCTCCTATCTACTTCCTCAGTTTACCTTAGAACTTTGCCACAATTCCACTTTGCTGCTGCTGTTCAAATTTGCAAATGGCTTCAGCTACAGCACTAAAGAAAGCAGACTATAATTAAGGCCCCTAGCCCAACCAGGCAGTAGAACCGAGCATCAGCAAGCACAAAAAAATTAAAAACACTTTACATGGTCAACAATGTAACAAACTGCCAGTGAGGAACAGCAATACTTCATTAAAATAATTCTCTTTTTTTACCATAATTTTTACAGTTGATATTCCTGGGATGTTAATGTTACCTACTGACAAAATCTGTACCAAGACTGAAGGAGTTGCTATAACTAACGTAAGCTGTATTTCTAAACAATCTCAATTTCTGCTCCAGCAAATCCAACTGGTCTATGGCATTTACCGCAGCTATAAATAGAATGATCCTTAGCTTCAACATAACATGGATGGAGAGAAAAGCACCCTGTTGCCTCAATTATCAGTATTTCAAGTTAAAAAGTTGCATAGATTGTGGCTGTAAGAGGCACATTCTTTGGAGCAACTGCTTAGAAAATAAAGATCTACTATAAACCTTCTAAAAACAAGAGCCCCTTATTTCATAACAAATGATTCTGAAAAGCATATAAAACTGTATCACTTGGAAAGGCTGATTAAACACAGCTATGTGGAGTAGTACAGAAAAATACTCAAGAGTCACAGTGAACCATTCTGTTCTTGGAATGGCCTTCGTTTTAACCAATTACAAACAGACAACCCAAACTACACAGTATTCATTAATTTTACGCCACTGAAACAGAGCTTCAAATTACAAATAACAGAAATTCACTTACAAATGCAAGTTTGCAAACAGGATCTCTGATAGCATCCTGGCAAGCTTATATAAAAAAATAAAGCCATTGCTTCAGGAAAAACTAAATTCTTAACTTACCGATTCTTACCTCAGAGCTGTGACTCAATAAAGTGACAGTTTTACAAGACTCACCATCTGTACGCTGTACTTCATTTTCTTATTTTATTACTATAGTGATACAGACTTATTATTCAAAACACTAAAGAAGTCTCAGATTCCATTTCCAATAATTCTAAACTAGTTATACCAAAATAATGGTAAAAAAAGATCAAGTTCTATCACTAATATATACAATTACACAAGTATTTTATCTGAAACAGAAGCATCAACTCCTGCAGCAAATTTCAAATACAGTTCTTTAGTCTTGCTTCTGTTGTTTACCTGTGCAGGTGTGTCTGTTTCGTTAATTGGCTGCCCATCGAACCGGAATCTGATTTGCCTCATTGACAACCCCTGGACAAAGAGAAGTAACACAAAGGGAAGTAAGTCTGGTGTAAAAGTACTCCCTAGTTTTCTCTTGAACATGTCACTGGAATTGCAGCATGATTAAAAGCCACATTCATAATGTATGATACAGTTTTCGTACTCCCCTCATGCACTGACTTTAAGGCATTTCACTACAAATCCTTGCAATCTGTTTTGTATTAAAAATTGCACTGTGTTCAATAACTAAGAGAAGCAACAGTGCCCCCACTGACTGCAAGTTAAAATAAAGCAATTTCTAGTACACAAGTCTCACCCCAAAGGCCAAGACTTTTATAGCGCTATTTAATAATAATTCACTTAAAAATTAGATGCAACACTTTGGATAACAAATGTCAAACAGTAATATTCAATACTCCTTTCTGATCTTCCCCAAAAGCAAAGGTATTCTAAAATATTTTTTCCAGAAATACAACCACCATCTATTCATCTGCAGCAAAGAGTAGCCAATGGTAACTTTTTGACCTTGAATTCCTATTAACAAGAAATCAATGGAACAAAGTTTTTCCATGCACAGCTGGAACTTTGAAAAAAAAAACCTAAAGGAATCTTCTACTTCCAGAAACTACTGAATAATATTTCGAACTAGCATTTCTACAACACAATAGTCATTTTGCTGACCTCTTCCATCCTCAGACTACTACTCATTCTTGCTTGAGCGAACAGATTCAAAAAGATAACTAGAGAGCAACAATGCCTTCTACTAATAACGTAAGCTTCAAATTCACAAGTTAGTTTTCAAAGGTATTCTACAGCACACTACATTCCGCAAAGGAAGATGAATGAAGTTTGAGGATACAACCAGAACCAAGAACCTTGGTGTCTACTTCTTCCCCAGTTCCATCTACTCTCTCTAAGAGTATCTAAAAATACAAGAAGCCTAGCTGGTTTTGAAGTAAATCCAATGTATTGCATGGTGCTGCTTCGGCATCTCTGAATTAGAAAAGAAGTCTTCATTTAGCCATGCAAGAGCAGATGTAACATACAAAAGAAAACTTAATGTAGTAATCATTTTTGAGAACTTGATTTCTCAGGAAAAATATTTTAATAAAGAATATGAGTAAACTTTTTGGTAAGACTTTATAGTTCACAGCAAAATGCCTTCTCTAGCGTGACTAAGATTCTGCAGTGTTCACTCAGAACATCATCGTATTTAAGAAAATCATGTGGCTAAGTGTCATGGCAGCAACACATTTTTGCACAGCAACATTTGGTTTGAGCCGTTTTCTCTGACACTGTGTTTCTTAAAATATGTATTTCCTATTCCAAAAGTGTTGTTTTTTTGCAGGTTGCTGACAACTTTATGAGCTGAATAAATGCTAGCTGAAAACATACTGAAAAACTGTACCTTGGTGAGATTAGCATCCACAAAAAATTAAGTATGTTCCATGGGTGATTTCTTCTCCACTTACAATAATTGCAAATAGTCTTGATCTCCTAAACGTATCATTCAAGGTTTAGTTACTTCCATTTTAGGTCTACTACATGCAATATATGATTTTCATTCTTTAAAGCTGCTAAATTCTCTACTACATGCAGCTTCCACCTCTCCAAAATTAAATCTAAAGTCCACAGCTTAAGGATTTTAAGATTGGGTATGCCTAGTTCGGAACACAAACAAAATAAAACTTTTAGAGACACAAAGAACAAATGCTTTTAAACAAAGTTTGAGAAGTAAGCACCTAAGAAACAAAATTTAAAGACAAGTCCATCTCCACAGAAATATCCTTTGGATACCTACTAGCTTAAAACCAAAATCAGAAAAAACATCTCCCATTCTAAACACTTTTTTTTTTTCCTCCAATTGGCACCTGGGGTTTTTTGCCTTTTTTTTTTGCTTTTTTTTTTTTAAAGGAGAGTAGAAATGTAGGTGAAAAGTTTCAGAATCTTACTTTTGCTTGTTTCCAAGTAACTGAAGTATGAATGGTACTTCTAAAATCATCTTTCCCAGGACTTTACAGACAATTAACCAATCCCCAAACTCCCAAAAAGACAGATATAACAGCACTTTATGTTTGGAAAAAGCAATACACAGTGATTTGCATAATATGAGTTTGTATGACAGAGGTAAGAAAAATGAGCTCAAAGCTTCAAACATTCACTAATCCCAGAACAGCCATACAAGAACATATTCACATGTTCAGTAAGAGCTGATTTTCCCTGTCTTTATTTTATCACTATCCTATTGTGCCAAAGGGTAAACCAAAGAGGTTTTACCACTCTGTATGCAAACTAGAGTTTGTTTTTCTTGGTGGCGAAATAGTTACCTCAATATTTTACACTGATTTTATTGTATTTGATGGTATCACTGAATATTTGTGTTTAAAAGAAAACCTTCCCCAATTCTAAACACTTTTGTAGAGATGGAACTTTCTGAAGGCAGACAGTCATTAAAAAATCATGGACAGCAGAGACAAAATTTTCCTAATCAAAAGCTTCATAAGAAAGTGTTAAATAGCACTACTCTTATACAGGTGTTTTTAAAACTTGCAATAGCTGCCTGCAACCTAGTAGGTTGGCTGCAGTTGCCACTACACTAGCAAAATACATTTTTTTGGTTCCTCAGAGGATTAATTTGACAACTAGGCCACAAGAGAAAAAACAAAGCTCATTATTAAATGTACAAGCTCCTTCTCAAGCTGGACATTAGACACCTTTAAACCCTGAAATACTCATTGATATTCTCTCATCTCAATACAATAATACTAAGCTAATAAATCAGAAGTCTATGACCAGACCAATTAGTTACTCAGTTATAAAAATACCTCTGATTATCACTCAACTCTCTATCCTAAGTTCACATCACAGGTTCCTAACCCACCCTTTCCATACTGGTATTTTTGACCACTAGAGTAACAGTTGCCTCCCAACAGCCTAGACCTATAACGCAGATTTCACAAAGATAACAGATCTTTATTTGACCCATTTCCTGTCACAACCCTGTCAGTCCACACTGTAACAAATCCTAAGAACAATACACTTTCCACAACACAATTCGTTTCTGTTAAGTCTTTATCATTTTGCCTATTTACATAGTTTTGAGACTTTACTATCTTCATCTGTCTCTACAGGTATGATCTCTCCCCCAGACTCCCCCAGTTCTCCTGACGATCATACAAGAGCATACCTGTCGTTCACAATAGGCTTTCATTAGTTTACTAAGTGGTGTATGCCTCTTAATCTTAAACTGCACCACAGACCCATCTTGCCCTGCCACCTTCAGATTAATGTGGTCATTGTTTTCAGTCTTCACTCCTTCCTGTTGAGGAAATAAAAGAAAAAAAAACACCACTTTTTTAAAGGGCATGAAACAAGAAGTTAACATTTTACCAAAGTGCAACAGGTCATTAAAAAGGAGGAAATAAAGATATTATAGCTGTTTACCAACTTGAAGCTTTGAATTAGCAAATAAAGGTCAGTACTTTTTATTGGGAAATAAAAAAAAAAGCCACACACTCACAAAAAACCCCCCAAGCCCTACTAATATTAGTTGTCATTCTTGAGATTGGTTAACATGCAAAGTAGCAATGAAGAGTTACTAGGCCAGTTGTTTTACAACAAATTAAAAAAAAAAAAAGTTATTTCTATCAAGGGCATAATAATATGCAACTCTACTGTTCCCAATCAAAGGAATAGTTATTTATGTTATAACTATGATCTCAACCACTAGCAAGTCTCTTTCTTACTATATCTCAAACTTTTCATATCAGTTGAGGTACTTCTGAAGAAAACTTCAAGGTAGTTTAAAGGACCGTATTTGAAAAGGTGACAAAATCTGAAAAGAACTAAGCTTTCTCCTTCAGAAAACGTGTTAAAAAAAACCCTCCTTAATAAGCAGTCTGATCCTCTCGCTTCCATTAGAAGCCACACGCAGAAACTTTCAACTCCGTTGCTCGTGTTCTGATCCAGAGCATCGCGGGAGAAGCGAAGAGAAGATTCAACGCTACCCAGATCCTAGGCAGCGCCCGCTCCTGAGGTGCCCAGCAGCATTTTCATCTTTGTTTTCTTTAGAAGAAGCGGCCGGAGGCCAGAGAACAGGCGAAGGTGTCGGATGGCCCCGGCCGGGGTGCGTGTCCCC